AACCCTATCCCTAAGCCTTAACTCCTAAACCCTAATCCCTAGATCCTAAACCTTAAACCTCACATTTATTGTAGAGTGCTTGGGGTTGATAGGACACGAAGGTTCCCAGGGTGCCTAGGATGTACAGGGCTACCAGGGTTTATGTTGCTGAGGACTCCTAGCGTACACGGCTGTGTTTATGATGAAGGATCTAGGATTTATTGGTTTTGTTTTGATTAGGATCTTGGGGTATCAGGCCTAGTCTTAATCAACTTTGCCTTGTAAACAGCTTCACGTAGGGTTCAGGGTTTTGGGGGGTTTTGGGTTCAGGGATGGGGGCCCGATACCCCAAAGCCTAACCCTAAACCCTAAACCAGGACATTATTTCTACCTGAACTTCATCATGTCGGCTAATCCGCCGGGGGCCCTACTGGCCGGAGGTTGAGTGGATCGGGGTTCAGGGTTGAGGGGTTTGGGTTCAGGGTGTACGGCTGAGGGTTTAGGGTCCAGGGGTTACGGTCTGGCTTATGGCCTAGATGAAGAAATGCAAAGGAATATGTCCCCAAAGTCATGTTTTCGAAAGCCCAGCGTGCCAAACAACTGATCTGAAAACTGTGTTGTAAACCACTGGCCTGCTCTAGATTCCGGTTTTAGGGTTCGGAGTTTAAGGTTTGACCCTGTGCAGCAGGGAGCAAAACTTTAGCGTTCCCTTCCCTTCTGGGGTGTACTACTGAGCCGGAATCTCATCCTGCCGGAAGCATTGCATCCTCAAGTGCACAAGTCTGACACTGCATGATTGTTTACTGACCCTCCAGTTGTAAACCCTGGCGTTCTTTTTTCTTTGTTTTGATGGCTCTTGGCGGGCGTACGTGGGGATCCTTAATTAGGGTCCCCCTATTTTCGGAAACTACCATATGATGGCTTGAAGAAATGGGCGACAAAGATGAAAGCGCATGATACCGGCCACATGAAGTAGAAGATCCGGTGTATGGCGCGTTCCGCGAGATTGAGTCATGTGCAGGTGGCATTGAGAAGGTTTGAGTGGCGTTCGAGATTCCGCAAATTTGTGGCTGACTCTCATGGTCCAGCCACCAAGCATCTTGATTTCGCTCATATATAACCCTAATCCCTGTGTAGTAGCTTCCATTTTCTTTTCCACTATCCCCTATATAGCCCCAATCCCCAAACTGCAGATCCTTACTTCTACAAGCAAATCTACAGCAGCCGCTGTATCCTACATCCTGAACTCCAGACCTGAAACCCTCAACGCTCAACCCCAAACCCTAAAGCACCCCCGAAGAGAAATCTATACCCTTAACTCCAAGCCCTACCTGAACCCCAAAAGTAGGTAAAATGATAGCCCCAAACCCCTAAGAACAGCCCAAAAGGCAATTATTCTACGTACTACTGTTGGGGCTCAGGTAGACCCTAAACCCTGAATCTCCTTCTGCTTACAATCTGAGGCCGAATCCTCCCAGGGATCCGAACCAGGCGTATGTGGTTCAGGGGGGGGTTAGGGTTTAGGGTTTAGGGTTTAGGGTGGTTGAGGATTTTTTTCCTGGTGCTGAAGCTGAAATATTGGGGAATCAAGCGGACAAGAGCGGACAATGAAATGGAAACTTGTCTATACAAGGGTTTTATATGGATTGTCAAGGGTGTACTCACTGGGGCCTTCTATGGAATGGATGGGATTGGGTTACAAGTTATAAGTTACAGGAACGATTATGAGGAAGTTCATGTGGATTACCATATGGAGCCATGCCCTCATTCCCTACTAAGCAGCAAGTTGTTCTGGGGTTTAGGGATGTGGTTTGAGGAATGGGGGCGGATTCCACAGGAAAGGCCGTTATGGGACCAAGTGTCCTGATGGTATGGAAATATGAGGAGGCTGGCAATCTAGAATTTCGGGGGCTTGAGGGTCGAGTTTTCACAGGTTGGTGGGGCTTCCAGCGCACTTTGCAGCGTGTTCCGCGGCGGGCTAGAGTCTAGGAGTCTAGGATGGCTTCGGGATCCACCCCAATGTCTTCGGATGGGAATGTTACAGGGCAGCCTTAGATTTTCAGCATGCAAGCTCTCAGCCCTAAATCCTATAAACCCTAAACCCTAAAACCCCTAAACGTTTGATATGCTAGCTCCTAAAGCTCTTCAGAAGGCTCATACAAGGTTCATTCGTGCGTTTCGCAAAACTGAGGGTGCGGAAGCGATTTGGGGACGTCGCAGGGGCCTAAGGTTTGCCCATTTTTCTAACATGAAAGGTTATAGGGATCATGGAAAACAACATGGAAACTACTATAATGGGGTTTAGGGTTTAGGGTTGGGGCTATATGGGGATACTGGAAAAGTAAATGGAAACTACTAACTAAGGGGTCTGGGAGGGGATGTTCGCAGAATAGCATGTTTGTCCCTGCATTACAGGAGCCAGTGCTATGCGCAGCAGTCTCCGAGTGCCTTATGCCTTTGTCCCCGGATGGATTTGAGGGCACACGGCTGATGCAAGGCCACATGAAGCCAAACTGATCGATTGACAAGCCTTGAAATAAGGTGCCAATATCTGGGTTGCTGTTACGGAACTTAACTCAAGTTACAAAAATACTATAGTGGGTATGTATATATAGTAAATAGTAGGGCTTCCACAATATAGCAACGTAAATTAAGTTCCTTAACCGCAACCCCAGATATTGCCACACATGTAACAGCCTCCATCCTTGAGACGAATGGGTTGAGAGAATTTCCCCTACTGCACCTTTTGCTTGGTCTCATGGGCAGTTCTCTGATGAACCAAACTAAGTTGTCAGTTTCATCCCAGCGTGCCTGCTGTTTGGGAAACAGGATGGTGGGCAAGCATAGTCCCAAGTAAACATTCAGTACGGGGGGCCCGAAAAAAAATCCGAAAGCCAAACTGGGGATTTCGCAATATAAGGGGCCTGCTGTAAGGGATTCCCAAATAATGAAAAAAGGACTACAATATTTGTATGTCCATATTGGGGTGCCATTATTTCTGGAAATTGCTAGTTGAACAAATTTCTTGCGGAGGCCGCCCACTGGGAAGGGGGCGGTGGCTGGAGCGGATACAGGGAGGGTAAGACAGGATTCCGGACCCCTTTCCTTTGGAGCCCACCTTTGTTTCTTAGGCAAAGCCCTAAGCACCAAACAGTAATTCAAGTTAGTGCAACATTCCTAGCAAAGGAGCACGACCACGACTTCCGTGGATCTAAGAGGTCTGTAGCTCTCCTCGAAGGGTCTAAGGTTCAGGGTTGCAAAATCCCTTTGTGTGATCTGTGACGGGCAAACCACTTTGCTAGGTACCTCCGGAGAAGCACATGCACTCTGTGGACGATTGATGAGTTGAAATGAAGGCTGGTTTAGGGTTTAGAGCTTAGGGCTCCCTGTCTATAAGTAATACCGACATTGTGCCCCAAAGTCTATAAATATGACCTGTACTAGGCTATTTGGAGCCTTAGGGGGCTGCACGCGCAAATCATTAGTCGGGCTTTACAAGGTTTAGGGTTTCGTGTTTAGGGGGTCCCTGAATCCCAAACCCTAATTCCTAAATCCCAACCCCCATAAGGCTAAAGTGCAAAACCGTGAATAGGGTTTGCCGCCTAGGCTTGCATGCAAACCTAAACCTGACAGAATTAGATGTTTTTGCCTGGGGTATACGGGCTCGCGATCGTGTTATGGGTCTAGGGTTCAGGGTTGCACAGAAAAAGATCATGGCCTCCTAGGAGAGGGTTTAAGGTTTAGGGGTTAGCCCTAAACCCTAAACCCTAAACCCTAAGGTTTAGGGTTTAGGGCAGGGTGTCTCGGAGTGGCAAGTTGATCCCAGGTGTTGCGTTGAGAGTACTGCAGGCCATCTTGAAAAGTGCGGGCTGAGCAGCTCGCATCAAGTGATCCTGGTAATGTAGACCCGTGATTACTAACCGTCCCTCCTTTTAAGGGCCTTAATGTTAGGATCCCTAGTATAACCCCTATTAAGGAGAGGGTTTTATTTGTAAGGGTCTGCATTATTTATTGTTTCTCAGCTGTGAGGCAGGGGGAGGGTGGCTGTTAGCTTCAGCATGGCCGAGCTCTCCATTCAGAAGTCCACAAAGACAGTTTGCCGAGTTTTAAGGGTTTAGGGTTAAAGGGAGCTAGGGCTTTCTTCTGGGCTTTAGGGGTTTAGGGGTTCAGAGTTCTAGGGTTTAGGGGTTTACATTTAGGGTTTTTTGGGTTTAGGGTTCTGAGTTTATGGATTAGGATGCCTGCTTTCACCCCCGTGGGAGCTTCTCGACTCGATCCCTACATAGTTGGGGTTGGTCTTACTTGTGTGCATACAGATTTATGGTTATAGTCCCCCTTAAGTTGATAGAATATGGCTTTGGGTATATTATAAAAAGGTCCCCATATACCCCATATTCTATCTACTTCAGGGGGAATATTTCTTAAGGGTGTCCAACCTGGCACTAATTAGAAAAGCAAACCTGAAGACTAAACCCTGAACCTGTCGTCTCCTGTCGAATGATTTCTCATCTTCATTAGAGTGCAGCCCGTAGAATTTGTTTGCACTACTAGTTCCATTATAGGTCCAGGGGGGGATCACAGAAACCTAAACCCTGAACCTTAAACCCTAAACCCCTAAACCCTAAACCCTAAATCCTAATCCCCTAAACCCTCAAATTCTAAACCCCTAACCCCTAAACC